GATCTGGCCTGGGGAACAAAGAATTCCTCTAAATGGCCCACAGTGGAATGATCTGGGGATGGCTGAGAGATTAATTCCTCATTTTCCCCAACCTCATGTCAATATATTCACTTTTATTTTATTTCCCTTCTTTTACTTTTCCCATGTTCCCCTCTCCTTTCTCAAAGAAAATCACCTTTAATTAGTAATGAATAGTTCCTGTAGGCTCCTCCTATATATTGTATTAGCTCTTCCTGGACCTATTTTTCCAAGTCTATGTTTCCCACTCTTAATCTCAAGAAAAAAGAATTTTAAAGATGGACAGGATTCCCCATTGTCATTATTACTACACCCAGAAGTCTGTGTCTCTACTGGCTTTCACAGTTTGCTTACACTCCTAGTCAAAAGTGGGAAAGATTTAGCATTTTCTTTTCATTTTTTTAATTAATTAATTTATATTTTTGTATTTTAGAGAAGGGTCTCCAGGGTGTTCAGGGTCTCACTACTAGATCAGACTTGTAGTGATCCACCTGTTTACAGCCTCTCAACAACTGGGATTACAGGTGTGTGCCACCACGCCCAGTCCCAATTGCCGTCTCAGCGCCCCCTAGGTGTGGGGCCAGCATGGCAGTCCTGGGGATTGAACCCCAGCCCCTGTGCCTGCTTTCAGATGCTTTAATCTGCTGAGCTATTTGGCCTGCCCTTTCTTTTTAATTTTGAATCTTCCTACTGACAGTTCTATCATTTTATCTTTCTTGGTGGCTTTCAGGAGAGTGCAAGGTTGTTGCCCCGTCTCAGTCTTTTGCTTAAATGCAGCTGCTAATGTCTGTACTCTTAAAAGACTCTGCACACTGAAGTCAAAGAACATTTTTCTAAAAATATTTCCTGTCTCAATAGGCACATTATGATGACGTACAAAGCATCTATCTAATACCTAACTAAAGCGATGAAATATTCTAACATGCTAACACCCAAAGGGCATAAGCCAGAATAGCAGGCTTGCCTTAATATAAACAAGTATAGACGACACAGAGAAGACTTACAATAAACTCTAGTGCCCCCAAAAAATTCGTACATTCTGAGAACGGCAGTAAATCTAACCCTAAGGAGTTCATGTTCTCCTGCAGGCTTGAAAGATGAAAGTGTCCATTTTATGCAGGAGCGTGACTTCTGTAGAGGCCTCTTCCAAGTTGCTATTTCTTTGCCTTTGATATTGCTACTTATTTTTTTAAAAAGACCTGATATCCCTTCTATTCTCATGGTTAACAAGTAGCATCAGAGCTATCTGAGTAGATACAGAATAGAGACTCGGAGAACAGTGGAAGGTGTCCTTGCTCTTCCCCGCTCTGTAGGGCCACCTCCACCTGGACTTCAAAACATCTAACAGAACATCTACCCAAATCAGAGAATGAGATTTCTGAGTAACCCAGAAAAGGG